CCGATACCCATGTCACCCATGTTACATGCTCCGATACCCATGTCACCCATGTTACATGCTCCGATACCCATGTTACATTTCAAATATTTTTATTAGACAAAATCCACTGCGAAACAGGACTCTGAAAAGCCCATGAATATTTTTCCAATACAGCGGAACGTTCTGGGTGAAGGGAACCGAACTTTGGAACGTTCTGGGTGAAGGGAACCGAACTTTGGAACGTTCTGGGTGAAGGGAACCGAACTTTGGAACGTTCTGGGTGAAGGGAACCGAACTTTGTTCAGGGTCAGACAGCTCAGCCAGAAGGAGAAGCTGTCTTCACAGATGTCATTGGCACTAAATCATAGTAGAAAAGCTGCCTCCTGATCCAGCTCATATGGGTAGATCAGGCTCCCACTGAATTTATGACCATAAATGCGAACTACCCCCACCCCCACCCCCACCTGACGGGGTTCACTGCACAGCGGCAAAAAGTCCAGTAGAACTGTTTGCTCGCCAAATCAGCTTGAGGGATGGGAGGCTATGTCTCCTCAAACTGCACTGGATTGTCCTTCTGGAGAACTGCAGCAACCCCAGGCTCCACCATTAAGTGCTGAAAAGGTCTGCAATTTAAATGCTGCTTTGGAAAAAAGAAGGACTGCAATCTCCAAGGAATGAAAAGAACAATAGAAGCAGTATTATTTTCCTGTTAATTTGGCTTTTGACTTCCTCTTTGTAAACCAAGAATAGGTCAACTTGTGGTCCATGTTCTCCTATGTATCACACATCTAGCTTTTAAGTCAACCAACAGTTACAGCTTAAGACATATTAGTAGAAGATTAAGACATTTACACATTGGTTAAGGACCACAGACAATAGCAAGGGTGGGGAAATGGTTACTGATTTGGGGTCAATTCCACTGTTCGGAGCGCCCTTGATTTGACTGCGAACATGGTGTGTGTGTGTGTGTGTGTGTGTGTGTGTGTGTGTGTGTGTGTGTGCTTGGTTGATGTTTTTTGGCATTTGTCCTAGCAAGGAGATACAGGGAGTGCCCTCATCCTCACAGGCGTCTTCATGCCATCTTCAGGAAGTCCCCCACTGTGTCTGCCTCCACAGCCTCTGAGAACATCTTGTAGTCCTGAGAGAACAGCACAGTCATCTCGTTAGTAACGGGGCATCTGAAGAACACACCCTTGCAAAAACAAAACTCTTAATTTATCCTGATTTAAGTACTTCTCTGCAACTATCATAAATTTCAGTGACAAATGGCGTTCAAAGTTTTTGGATAACATTCATATTAAATAAAGGTGAAATCAGTCCTGGCAACATCCTGGGTGCCAGAGGAGGTCGCCCTCCCAGGTCCTCACCCCGCAGTACTGGTCACCGTTGAAGATCTGGGGGGGCACGGCCGTAGGGTTCCCCGCCTTGCTCCTCATCTCCTCCCGCACCTCGTTACCCACAGAGATGTCGACCAGCTCGTAGGGGATGCTCTTGCTGTCCAGGATGCGCATCACCTCGGCCTGCTGGGACTTCACCTGCAGGGGGGGAGGGGGGGGGCGCTAAATGACCACGGCCGCCTTGCCACCAGAGTGGGTTTCTGGCCTCGTCCCCCCCACTTCCCTTTAAAACGGCACATGTCCCCAGCCGGCCTGTTCAAGCCACCTGGGTTATTTTGGTCCAAACAAATATGATGTAATTTTAAATCTTTCTTAATCCCTGTCTGGTAAACATGTGCTAACATAAAAGATAAAGTGAAAGTGCACTTTTTGGAGTTTCTGTTGTTAACCTTTCAATATGCAATATACTGCTCAGAGCATGCAAACAAGCAACGGGCAGCTAGATGCAGCCACAGGAGGTCGCAGCAATGCATGACACAACAGCGGCGTCACTCTGGTGTCACTCTGGCGCATCGGCGTCACTCCACGTGCTTTAACTTAAACACCCATGTCCTCGTGTAGCTGGACCCCCTTTTCGTGACCTTGCTTCTGGTCACCGCAAGCTGCACAGAGATGAGGCTCCTCTACTCACTCACTAAATTGGGAGCTGAGTAAACAGACAGGACCCCCCCCCCCCGTCGTCTTCTCAGGCCCAACCTTCCACCACAAACGTTACTCTCACCGCACCTAAGGTGGAGATCTCGATCAGATTATTTACACCTTCATCAGCAAGCTTCAGAGCTCTACGGCCATCATGCTCTCTCCAGCAGGACTTGGCTTTTCGTCCTATTCCAAAGAGGCTCGCGATTTACCGTTTTAACCCACCTATCAATGCAGTCTGGGCCTTAAGGTCTCACTTCCCTACTGGCACACATCCAGCGGGACACTGGGACTCTCCTGTCGCGTAAGTGAACATGCTGCTCCGTTCCCGGTCACAGCGTCCAGTGGTGAGACTGAGCAACAGAGTCCAGTTTTCTAGCTGGACATCAATGACCTCACCAGCCTCGATTACGCAGAACCTGTGACTGTGTAATTCCGACACACTGGAAGAGCAACGAGCATCCTATGTTCCCAAATTAAAAGGAAGAAGAAAAAAAACTTCCTCAAAAAGTCACAATAAAAACAGCTGAAGAGAATCTCTTCCCCAAATGTAATGTCACTGTAGTTATTTCAGAAGGCATACAGATGACTTAGACATTATTCCTCAACTTAATGATACATATTTCAGATAAACAGACGGATGTTTAAGGACAAGTGTCTGGAGCGCGTACTGCTGCCGTGATGACAAAGGCGAAGGAAACGTACAGATTACCAGCAGTCACGGGGGGACTTGAACGGAAAAATACAGAGACAGACCGTGTGAACTTGTGAGATGATGCCTGTCCTGCAGACCGGACTTAAAGGGACAAGGCCTGGTGTATGAGCAGAGTCAGCCTGGTTGCAGCGGCCTTATGTTGAAATCGCTGCTTCATAACAATCAATCAAAACGAAATTAATGATGGAGTGTGAACGGGGGTGGCATTCACAAGGCGCGGCGCTTTGGAATCGCATCGCTCCTATGGCTGCACCGAATGAGGAAGTGAAAGTACCTGACGTGCGCCGTACCCCGCCCAAATGAAAAGTATGTTAAAAGATGGCTGTGTGGGTTCAGAACCGGATCAGAATGTGAATAAAAGTGGAACCCCCCCCCCGCACAAAAAAAACAAAAACAAAACACACAGACACCAGGAGACGGACTGAGACGCCAAGCTTCCGCCCCTCAGCTGCCCATCGGATCCTGGACTTTTCCTTAATCACGTTCATGGCGAATAAACACATTGCGCACAAAACAGACGCCAAATAATTAGCCATCGCGCACCCCGGGACACCCCGGCTGCATCACCCGGAGCCAACGACCCGCACACGGGCGGAGCAGCCAGCTGACGGGAAGCTGGGTGTGTCCGAGCCCGTTATTTCTGCACAGTTCAAAACGCACTTAGCAAGTAGTGAAATTGCTCGAGACTCGGTTCCAGGAGGCGCCGGCCTGGCCTTGCCTCGTAGCGGCCCCTTACCTCCCGGGATGCAGTGACGGTGGTGTAATATAGCTTGACGCCCATCGTAGCCGCCGAACCTTTGTTCCAGTGCTGCTCTCTGCCCTCCGCTACCCGTCCGGGCTCTGCCGCAAACTCCACTCGCCACGTGATTCGAAAGGACCAATGGCGACGTCGAACTGTTTCCCTTAAAGACACAGTATCCGCATAATGACACGCCTCCTGTCTATCTGGTGTGACGTAAAAGACAACGGCGCCTGTCTGCCATTCTACAGGCGGTTTCCCTACCCTCTTAGATAAAAGAGATTAAGTAGTAATTAAGTAACCACAGACAAAATCATTTGAAAAACAACCTTTATTTTTAAAGTGCAAATACAATTGAAGACTAAAAGGTACATTTGCCTGTACATTTCTTAATTGTGCAAAAATGTAAGAAAGGCTGGTTTGAGCGATTTCAAATTACTCATAGTAGAGATGCTGATAGAGATGGCACAGTATTGTACTAAGACCTCAGGCGTGAAACTCATTTTATATATTGCAGGATAAACCTCTCACACACAAAAACAATTTTAGTTTCACTAGACAATGAAAGAAATAAGGTTTTCAAAAGCAGGTAAGAAATATTCCCATCTTGCCTGGCTGTAAGAAACACTGAAGCTGAAACGAGTTATGACTCAATGGACAGAAAGTGGCATCTGAGACTTCAGGTAAAACCCTGTGCTGACCGTATTACAGCAGAGGGAATCCCCCGATACAGGCCAAACAAAGGCAGAGGCTCCAGCAGAGCAAGACTGCTTCCCAGACAGGCTGAGGCAAGCAGGAAGCACAGCATCCAGGCAGAGAATGTGGTGTGAGTAGCCTGAGGCGCAGCGGACAGTCATAGGCAGCCAGCGACTCCCAGAACAGCAGGTGAAAGTGAGAACTACAAACTACACCCATTCTGACCACATAAGACGTCCACGCCTGCGATAACCTCAAAAACGCAAATGCGAATATCAGCCTTTGAAATCTGCTAGAGAAACAAGGGGGTGGACATTTCCAACATGCTAACGGATTAGCATGCATTTCCCTCCACCCAAACAGCCCGGTCCCTCCTCAGCTGCCTGGATATTGATCTGTACAGGCCTGAAGTTCACCCTTCCATACACCGAGGAGGATTAAGGTCCCAGACAGCTTCATAGAGCTGAACTGCCAAATCACAGGCCACTACAGACAGTCTGCATTACCTGCTGGGTGTTGGCTTGTCTCCCCCCCCCCACAATATATGCCCTGATACCAGAAGTGAGCACTTCTTACAGTAAATGTCCCTGATCACAGTGGGGAAGAGTGTATTGTGCTATTTACTGTAAATATGTCACAGGCTTCAAGCCCAACTTGAGCACACATTTAGCCATGGAAGCGTACTGAAAAGGCGACTGCTGACTCGCCAAGTTCCCCGTCCATGCCACCGTAACGGCACATTAATAATGAATATTGAATAATGAACCCAGAGAGAATGGTAATGACAGCCAAGCGTCCAAATGTTCAACAGTCCGCTTCCAGTCTGTAAACTGTAAACACATGCAAACAGAGTTAATGAGGTAGAGCAAGCGGACCTTTAGTAATGCTGACCGGGGTATATTACGGCATCAGGGAGCAATGAAATGCGGAGAAGTGAAAGGAAGGGAGGCTGGTGCAGACTACAGCAGAAGAGAAACGCTCTGACCATGCAGCATTGTTACTGATGCGGGTACGGAGCGTGTGCAGCATTGTTACTGATGCGGGTACGGAGCGTGTGCAGCATTGTTACTGATGTGGGTACGGAGCGTGTGCAGCGGAAATAAGTGAGTGTCATATAGAACAAGCCTGTATCAGAGCTCAAGAAGCCATCCTTGCATTACAGCCCAGTGATAAAAGGAAATACCATCTACACCGTAGGGCACACAGATTATATATGTATTCAGTTGATTGTCAACCACAACAAATGACTCCCCCACGAGAAGAGGTGGATCATTCCAGATGCTGACCTCTCCCCCGCACCTTCAGGACAGTAGGCACTTGCTGCTGTACACTGGCACTTCCAAAGGTGGGAATCCATGTTTTCCCAGGGAGTACTTAAAACCAGAATGGAAGCCCAGAAGCCTCCGCCTGAAAGGTCCAAAGGCTGCTTCTTTAGGAAGACAAACTCTGCAGGGTGGGGCATATAGGGCTGGAGTCCAAAGCCCCTCCGCCAAGCCTCATCCCGGTATCCCGGCCCCCGCCCGACCAGCAGACGCGCCCGGGCTACTGTGTGATGCAGTTGTCGCCCATGTCTTGGGCGTAGCGGTCAGAGATGGCCGTGCGCAGCTCCTCCACGTCACGGCGCAGCAGCTGCACCTCCGCCAGCTTCCTGTCCAGGGCCTCTGGTGTGCTCCACTCCTCTGCGTCCTCAACGCCAGGCTGAGTGGCTGCGGGGGGGGGGGGAGGGGAGAGACACTGCATCTGATTTCAAGTTGACACATTAAAGGCCCCTTCTCTGGGGTGGAAGGTACAGCCCTGGGTCCTTCACCAGAAAGAACAGACAGAGTTTGACTGCTAATGAGTGTCCCTTGAGCTGCATACTGAGAGGGTCACCAGCAGCCTATCTGCTGCATCACCACCTGCTCTTCACCAATGGGACAAGTGCTGCAGAGCAATAAGACTGAATCACACATGTAAAAATATACATTTGTGTAAGTGGGAAGAAAATCCCGTAAGCGCATAAATAAGTTACGATAATGTCCTACTTACGGGTGACTCCGAGCAGCAGGGAAAGGTTGGGGTCGCGGCCCTGAGCGCACTGCGTCAGCACGCTGCAGAGGGAGCGCAGGTCCCCCAGACAGGCCTTCATCTCTGCGTGGAGATGCCGTGCCTGCACCGCCACCACCACCACCCCCACCCCATCTGTCTCCGCCTTGCAGAGCCGCTCCTGCAGGGTCAGGGTCTGCTCCACCAGCTCCTGGTTCTGTCCAGACAGCTGAAACACAGGAGGCTTTCCGGTCACATGACCATCTGTCTTATGACTACTTGTCAATGACTTAACACGGAGCAGCCTGTCCTTCGGTCCCTCACAGCTACAGCTGGGTATGTTTAGGTTTAGAAACTGCATGGAGCTTGCAGATAGGCTACAGTTTCACATTACTTAGCAGTGATGAATGAAACAGACCCTATATTTTACAAGAACGTCACCAAGGACTCATAACCTGAAAGGCACAGAGTTATTAATCGGTGTTAAAGGGGGCTGGCTGGCACCCTGGCACGCTGGCACACTGGCAGACCGACCTCCTTCATGGCGCTGCGTTGCTGCAGCAGGCTCCTCTCCTTCACACACAGCTCCTCCCTCAGCGCCTGGCTGGTTCCTTCCTCCTGAAGCAGCTGTTTCTCCAGCGTCTATAACAAGCGTAGAGAAAAGGAATGAATCACGTTGTGAGACACAAGGCATGAGGCACCCGCACTGAGGCACCCGCACTGAGGCACCCGCACTGAGGCACCCGCACTGAGGCACCCGGAATGAGGCACCCGGACACCCACCCGTATCTGTGATCCCAGCTGCTCAATCACCCGCCTCTCCTTGTCGACAACCTTCGGAAAACAGAGCAGTCAGTCGGCGGAGCGTCTTACTGCTGACTTTCTGTACATTTACTGAAGGACACATGGAAACCAAGAGGCATCGACACTGCCCAGGTGAGCACGTTGACGGCAGTAGCCCTCTGATGAGGCAATAGACCCAGACACTGGAGTGGGCAAGCCGGAACCGTAGGCAAGCTGGAACCGTAGGCAGGCCGGAACCGTAGGCAGGCCGGCACACAGCCGTACCTTCTGGAGCCTCTGGACCTCTTCCCTCAAGGCCTCATTCTCGTCCCGCAGCTTTGCCACGTCCAGCGTGGGCAGCCGGACTCCATCTTCCAGGCCTTCACGGACTCGCTCCTGCAGGCTGATGGCAAGAGGCCCAAGATAGCACTCCTCCTGATCTCCCCATGACGAGGGGCACACCTCATGGAGGCAAAGCCCTTCCAAGGCCGGTACCAGCCACATTAAAAAAATTTAAAACATTTGCATGCAAAGGAAAGTTCCAGTGCTTAGCAGGCAGATTCCGCTCACCGCTGTGACTCAGCATCCCAGGACAGACATTAGTCAGAGGGACATGATAGATGTAGCCACACTGTGTGGAATGGAGGACCTGCCTCTACAAGTGTATCACATGCTTAATTCTGTAGACACACCATGCAGCTCTGCCTGGGGGAGGGGGGCACGTCTCACACAGATGGCAAGCACATGCACGTCGGGGGGGGGGGGTAACCTGGTGACGGTGGTGAGCAGCTCCTTCTCCCGCTGTCTCTGCTCCTCCAGCTGCCTCCCCTTGTCCCGTACAGCCCCCTGCGCCTCCTCCAGAGCAGCCTGCAGCTGAGCCACCGCCTCCTGCAGCTGCTTGGTCTTTTCCTGCGCATCCTCAAGCTGTGATACGCAGACGGATGGGGCAAACACAGACAGACACGCAGACAGACACGCAGACAGACACGCAGACAGACACGCAGACAGACACGCAGACAGACACGCAGACAGACACGCAGACAGACACACTTACTAACTGAGCATTTTGCAGACAGCTGGAGACTGGGCTTGTAAGTGTCACAAGTTGCTCCATGACTTCAGACCTACAGCCCACCCCCCCTCCGCCTCTGCTGGTGCGATCAGCTCCTACCTGCTTGCTCTGGGCCTTGTAGTGCTCCAGGGTGGGCAGGTCGGCCAGGTAGCGCTCCAGTGTCTCCACACGCTGCTGCCTCTCCCGGCTCACATCACATTCCTTTTGACATTTCTTCTTCAGGCTGTTGATGTGTTTGTCACGACTGCGGATCTGTGGTTTGGAGACAATGGAGAAGACAAACTCGAGGAGGAGGACAACTTCTTACTATGGACATGAACTACAGTTCCCATGCTCACCCTCTCTTCCTGCTTCTTCTTCTCCTCTGCATGCTTCTGGGTGGTGTCACGCAGCGTGTCCCCCAGTTTGCGGGCCTCCGCCTCAGCCGCCGCCAAGCGCCTCTCACTCGCAGCAACCTCCTTGGTTTGGGCATCGCTGCGCTCAGCGAACTGAGCCCGCAAGAAGGCGTTCTCCCGCTGGGCCTCCTGCGAGCACCACGGCGCGGACGGGACAGATGAGGACCCGGCCCGTCCACGCCAGTGAACATCCGACGTCTGCGACTCTCACCTGCAGCCTCAGCAGACAGACGTCCACGTATGGGGCACCGCGTCCCAGCACGGCCCCGTGAACCTGCAGCTCGCTCTCCCGTAGTCGCTGCTCCAGCTGTACCATCTGCTGCTTCTGCCTGCGCAGCCAGGATTACAGTTAGCATGCTGTGGCATCTCGCCTTCACCGCCAACAAACTGCTGCTACACTGCGCACTTCTTTAGATTATCAATCTAAGAGTTTCCTGAATTCCACCACACATGACCTGTGTAATAATTTAAGTCCTTTAAAAAGCTGCCATGTAACGATATTCATCAGCATCAGTCACCTCTCGATGATCAGCTCCTTCTCCCTCAGCAGTCCCTCGTTAACTTTGGCGACAGCGTCCCACGTGTGCCCCCCCGCCTGCAAGCTGGACGGGTACAGAGGGGGGAGCTGCCCCGAGCCCGCCGCCCGCAGCTGGAGGGAAGCACAGGGGTGTCGGCAGAGTGACATGGTGTAACATCAGGGTGTGCTGCTTTTAATTACTCCATTCGTCCATGACATCACCTTGATCACCAACCAGCCCCTATCCTCTGCCAATCACATCAAAACATTCCAACAGTGCAATCAACCTCCACTGTAAACAGCCTCTTTCTTTCAAGCAGACCCCCCCCGGTGAAGGGGCTTTACCCACCTTCATCTGCTCCACCTCCAAGCGCAGGCTCTCCAGCTGCTGCCAGCTGCTCCCACTGCAGGGCCGCTCACGTGAAGCCTCATTGTCCTGGGCTACTGTCTCTGGGAGTCTCTGGGGGGCGCTGTGGAGCACGGGTCTGGCCTCTGGTAGCAGCCTGTACGCTGACCCAGCCCCCGCATCGGGGCTTCCACTCAGGCCGGTCATTTGCAACCGGTAACGTGGGTCAGGGCAGAAGCTGCCCAGCAGCGCTGACTGGTTCAGTGTGGGCTCCACAGTGGGCGCCGCAAAGCCCTGGCCGTCATCCAGGCGCGAGCGCTCAACAGCAGGGGGCAGCAGCGAGTGGTCCAGGCCATTCACCAGGCTCCGGTACCGGCTCAGGCAGTCTGTCGCCACGGCGGCCCGCACCTGCTCTTCCAGATTGGGAGAGGACACCGACTTTGGGAGGGGTGAGGACTTGGTGCTGGAGGAGCTGGACTCCCGAGATGTGGAGGATGCAGTGGCTGAGCCTGGCTGGGGCTTGGGAGCCCCCCCGCTGGCTGTAGACGGCATGACATGGGCCGTGGGAATGGGAATCTGACTGCGGATGGGCTGGAAGGAGGGGCTGCCACTGGAGCTGCAGAAATCTGGAAGGGCACGGAAAGGGTGATCAGCCTGCTACAATGGCGGCATGTCTGCTGCTCATAATTCACACAGTACAGTCAATGGTGCAAATAAAGTACTATATACAGGGTCCAAACAGGTTAATCCCAATGGACTTCAACATAATATAGCATAAACCCAATGACAATAAGGTCAGGCTTGCGCATGAGAGGGGTGAGACAGAATCCTGAATTCACCGTCATCTGTAGCAACAACTGTAAGGCCCTAGATCAGAGTCTGCCAAACAAATATACAACATGGGGCTGCCAGCACCCCCCCTGCCTGTGATCTGTAAATAGAAGCTTCCATTAACTCACAAAGCTGCAGAATGCTCCCCACTATCCGAAAAACAACAGAGAGGTTAAGAATCTACAACTGCGACAAAGGGACTTTATTCACTCTTACATGAAAGTTTTTTCCTTTAAGCTGTGCAATTAAGACCATCAGTCTGAGTTCTGCCATTGCACAATCCTGCCTTTGGTTTGAGGTTTCTGGTAACATAAAGGGTTTATTGTTTTGTGTAGGACATCGTAAGTGTAAGAGAGGTAACAATAAAAGCTACTAGTAAAACCCTTCAGGATCTTTGGCCTCAGTTACGACAGACAACTGAGTGAAACAGATTACCAAACAAACAAGGTAACGCAGACGTAAACAAATGAACAAACAATAATGCACCGGCTACCAAGACAAAAACAGCTGAAGATGACCCACGCAGCATGTCAAAAAAAGTGCAGATGTCATAGGACAGATCAGGCATAATGGAAAACAGAATGAACAGGTGACTGGACGACTTGGGCCCAGCCAGAGGACCCTCTCACCTAGTCAGTGCAGGCTCAGAGAAGCTCAGCCAAAACATTTTTACCCCCAAGCCAGCGCTGGCCTCCAAGGCGTCGCATGCTAAGGAAAGAGCCCCCTGGCATCTCCTGGCAGCCGGGTCCAAAGTCAGCCGAACAATCGGCCTGAATTCCAAAAGCCAAGGAAACAGCCTGGTTTGACATGCAGGTACAATCCCCTCTCCCCTGGTCTGCTTGCCCATACAGCAGTCCGCTCTGTTCTGTGTGTGTGTGTATTTATAGAGCACTCTCAGGTTTCCGAATGCCTTGATCTACACAGACCTCTTATTTAAAGGTCCCCCACCCCAGGTTTCATCTTGTCAAACATTTTGAGGAGGGACACACAGTAAAGCCACATCAGGACATGAGGTCCCTAAACTGCAAAACACACATTAAACTTGTGAGCTGAAAGCCAACAGGAATCGGAGAGGAGAGAGGGGGCAGACTGCTGCTCTCAGCTACAGAAACTCAACCCACGGCCTTGAGTCTCTTACAACACAGAGTACATTTAGCAGCTGGAAAATGGACAGAGGTGCTCTGACTAAACTCTACGGGAAACTGCCCAGGGGAACCCGATAAAAGATCAGCAGAACTGACCCAATCACAAGCAGCCCTTCCCTCTTGCTCTTTGGGAGAACATGTATGAAACTGTAGCTATGGAATCTTCAAGTATAATAAGAAAAAATGTGTACTTCACTGAATACTGTTATAAGAACCGATTCCGATGAAGACATTCCTGCTACAGACACATGACTGAGGAAAAAAAGCCATATTTTTAAAGTCTGCTTCTTGAATTAAGGTCTGCAGCACAGAAAAAGTGATATGACCACTTCTCCAAGACTCACTGGTCTTCAAACCTCAACCATCACAGAAACCACAGCCCCCTTTCTCAGGCTCCTCCCTCATCACTCTCTGGCTCAGATGGAGCCCGTGATCCTAAACCAGACCGGCTAATCTTTGTGCGTGTGAAATATAAAATGGAGAACCAAGGGAAGAGTGTTATTGCTGGTTTCTGAAGTCCAAGACGCCACAGCAATAAGGCCAGTTAACGAGGATGAAGCTGCTGGGGGTATTCTTGGATGGGAATATAATCCCACACTCTAAATCTCCAGGGTGCCTGGAAACAGGACAACCTCCCCGTTTATAAATACCCTGCAGTGTTACTTGGTCTTTTAGCATCACTGGTGACATTAGTACTAGTACTAGTATTAATGACCATTACATAAAGGCACTAAGCTAAGCCTTGATGAGGTTGTTTTACACAGATGAATACAGTAGTTAGCCAACACACAAGAGCCAAAGTATATAGTGGTTAGCTGAGAGCCCCTAACCGGACACAAAAGAGCCAAAGTATATAGCGGTTAGCTGAGATCTTCCAACCAGATACACAAAAGTCACAGTACACAGCTGTTAGCTGGGAGTTCCCACCCACACACAAAAAGAGAACAGCTCTGTTGCAAGGAGATCCAGGTTGAAGACCCAGTGTGTAATGGAACCCTAACGCCCTGCACTTACCTTCCATGCTTTCAGATGGAGTGGTACCCAGCCCAGTATCTCCACTGTCAGCAACGCTGGGCTGCCGGCCAAACCGGCTGTGGACCTTGTCCGACACGGCTGGGGTCTGCCACTCCATTTCAGGGAATCCAGCACGACAGTCTGAGGGCAGCAAATACAAATACACTGAAGACAAGCAGGGGAATGGTAACATTCACAAACTGCCCTCATACGCACACTTACAAACATGCACGCACACCCATGTTGCATCATTACTCAGAACTCTATAATGGACACCATACTTAAGTGGCTTTACCTGACAGTTTAGCCTGCTGACAACGCCAGTCCTGGTATAGCTGTGAAGTGGTCATGTGACACACAGGAGACAGCTGTGGAAGATAAAACAGCCAGTGACGAAACTGTGGAGGATACTGGAGCACCCTTAGGCAAAAGCGCTTTACAAAACTGCTGGTAAATATCTCCCCCAATAAACCACATCACAACAACCACATTAAAAATGCACAAGAATCAAATCTGATTCTTCAGACATTTCCCATTCGTTCTTCTAGCTAAGGGGTACCCAACCTTTTGAAGTCTGGGCACTTTTTAGTCAGTGTAGTGTACATTTTATAGTGTTATCATCATTTTTTATTTTTATTCTGATATTTTAGAATTGCACCATTTACTTGAATGCCAGATACAAGACCGGCACAATATTCTCCAGTCTGTGTAGTTTTCCATGACCCTCTCATTTATAATCATTAAATAAATTGTTAAATTAATACAATTATAAAGAATTTGCTGGGACAGCTGACACATGCAAATTTTTCATAGAACAACAAAGCTGCCATGAGGGGAAAAAAAAATACAGATAAGTACAGAAAAGGGGGGGTATCTAAGATCATTTACTGTTCACCAGTAGTGGCTTGATGTTTAGCGTTTGGTCACAGAGGGGTCTGGTTTCCATCCACTCATCTTCCCGGATCTCATCGTAAACAAACACAAAAGGCACCAAAAATGACCCAAGAAGAAGGCGAAAATGCCTAAGAGCAGGCATTCCCACGACACATGCAGCACAGCCCCTGTTACGGGGAGGCCAATCCAACATAGAGGTTAGCTATTCCACAGCAGCAAGTTACTGGATGCTGTGCTTCATTTGGTTCTGAGTAGATTACAGACAGCTGCACTCAGATTAGCAGACAGTGAAAATGTTAAATCAGCACAGCTAACACAAGACCTCATCCAGGGCTCATGCCTGACTGCTTTTATCTGGGAAAGACCACCTTCTGCACTCGACTATGAATGTTTCATCATGTTTAATCATCACAGACTCCTCTTGTGTTTTGGTGCCCGTTACGACAACAACTGGCGAACTACAAGTAAAAACTTGGGAAAGGCTGAGACAAGCCTGAAGCCATCTACACCCAGAGATATTATATAATCTCCAGCAACATGCCATGGAAATTCTGTATTCTGTGAGCAATTTAAAGAGTCTGGACACGTTTCTCTTCAGCCCTGAGCCAACACCTTGTTTTCTGAGAAGTTTGTGCCAAGGCCAAAAAAATAAGGCCTTCAAAAAAAAAGGAGCAGCATCTTCCTCTGCATTTTCAGCAGAATGATGCTCCAGAGACGTTGGGCGCTCCTGGAGATGCCTACTAGTCAAACCAGCAGGAAACCAGGGAAAGGGTTTCAGGACAACACACCGAACCATGAATACTCTCTCTGCAGGAGGAATCTGCTTCCAAAAATGTTCAAAAGGACGGACGAAAACGGGAAAACCGCATGTCGAAAACATTTCGGCAAACACTTTTTAATTAAATGCTTTGAGGTATATTACTTCAGAAATTGCACTAATTAAGTGAAAACAACGTAATGCTACTGGACGTGGTCTAAGGGAGTCAGGAGGTTACTCTGTGGAGTAGCATCCAAACGAAGTGATGTTCGATTTTCAATTAAACACTCGAATCCTGTCCCCAACCAGACCCTCAGCTTTCCATCTTCACAGACAATAAGGCGTTTACCAGTCATGATAGCAAACTTCAACTCCATTAAAATGCCGAAATACAGCTAGCCGGTGGGCTAAATTAGCCTCGTTGTCATGGAAACGTAAGCTCAACGGTCACCACGACTCGTCTAACGTTATTATTAAATCCATACTATATACCTGTGCTAATGGGTAACCCGTTAGAAACTTAACTAATTCATCTTGTCTGAAACTTAGTCGCAGTTGTTTCTCTGGCAAGAGTACAGCCAGCTAGCTAACGAGCTAAAGCCACCGCCGCTACAGAAGACTTAACAGCTAAGCCCAATAACTCAGCCTGACGACGCTGATTACGGTGACGAGGCCTGTTTAAACTTAAAACACGTCTGCTTCAGTGGTGCACAATTGCAGACATGTCAACCCTGTAGCTAGTCAGCGTCTCAGAGAATACCCTTTTGCAAGGTTTTTTTAAGTTAGCTAGAAACAAAAAGGTACCCCAAAAAATAACTCAATCCTACCTTTTCATAAAACAAAAAACAATATAAAGTTGTTATAATATCCACATAAGAAACGTAAACAACTTCGCTAGGTGAATGAGTTACACACGTTTTCCCAAATACTTTTTGGTCCGGCTGGCTCCTAACCGTTAAAAATACATCCCACCCACTATTTATTACTATAGGCCAGTTGAAGTGTCAATCACACCGCCTTCATACTACTTCACCGTGGATTGGACAGAATAGTTGTCGTACCCGAAATTGTACTTTGTTTTCATGCATCTTATTGGTTGGCTCAACCAAACGTCATTTAAAATCTTAAAAGTGTTTGGTTTCCGTAATCAAAGAAGGTGGCTATTGTACTGCGTATGATAAAATAAGCGCGAATTGAATTTCACCAAGAGATTCATTAGTGTTTGCGTTTAATAATAAACAATTACAATCAAGACTCACAGATACACTTGCGGCATTCATAAATGAGAATACGTCGTCTTAGTGAAAAAGCCTTTTGTTGTACATTCACTTGTTATTAAATTACTGAAAAACAAACAAACAAAATAGTATGATGATCTTATTAAAAAGGGACGTACAGCTTTAAAAAGGAAAGCAGGTGATATACTGGCCTCCAGACTTGTAGCATTAAAACTATTGGCCTGGGATTTTCTGCGATGTTCCTGGCTATTGAATTCTTAATCACAGTACTCAATCTCTAGTGCTTTAAATATATAAAACTATATATGGATAAATTCATAATTAAAACCATAATTAATTAGCTGAGTATTAAGCCAACTGAATGTAAACTGCAAAGGCATCTCTGGCTGAAACATTCTGAAGTTCAGCTATCCCAGGAAAGTTTTCTTTTTTTAATTTATACAACAAAGAAGAACTGTTGATCAATTGTCAGCTGTGTGTTGACCTCCGCTTTGCTTTGTCCAGCCCCCTGGAGAGTGTCTCAGGAGATCAGCTCTGATTTGATCATCCGCTTGCCAGTCTTGTTCACTTCAGCGTAGAGTGGGAAGTCTTTGTCGCCACTGCGGCTTGCAAAGTCCCTGCAGATGGAGGGTCGCGTGCTGAGAGGTTTGGCACTGATGAAAATGGACGCCTCCTCACTCTTTTTCTCTCCCCACCGCACCTCTGCGTACAGACTGCTGCAGCTGGACGTCTGTCGCCGTCCGACTTTGGCCTCTGGGGCAGGCCACTCACGCATGTTCACCACTGTATCGTACACCACAGATCCCGCCATGCGCCCTGTGGTGGACTTCGGCAAGGATGGCAATCGGCGATTTGCCAAGGGCGCAGTCCTTGCTGGTTCTTCCTCTGTGACACAGACACAAACAAATGCTGTTTTTCCTATATAACATGCATGCACTGTGACATAGGTCCCTGATTTTTTTGTGAGGAAATTACTGTATTAAAGATGAGTGGTGTGTAGGCCTAGATCTGGCTAATTTACTTTTTGGCTGAGTCGTGATTTGCTGCTAAGGTGTTATCTGCCAAAACAGAACACGGGGACATGCGTACGGTGTAATCTACCAGAATAGACAATGGGGACATGTGTACACACCTGTATGAGTGTTTGGGGCATCTTTCCTTTCAGGCTGGTGACCAGCTTCCACTGCGTCTGTGCATTTCCCATCAACAGTGCTTCCTGTTGCTGCCTGAAACATCATTATTTTGTCTACGTGTGGTTTCACCAGCAGGACAAATTGTGCACATCATTTTAATCTTTTCAGTGGAGATCACTGAAATGCAGTTTGGATTTACTCCACAACTATAAATACTCAACTTAGTCTGCCAGGAAAACAATGTGGCTTTCAAAAAATTAACCCCACCAAGTGAAAATTCAGAACAAAAAATAATTGCTTTGACAGTGCAGAAGAAATTATAGGAAATTGTATTGCCATACCTTATACCTTTTGAGAGAAGGGAATCAGTTTGTTGTGGGGTCCCATAAAATGTGTAAAGGGATGGGGTTTTGGTTTGGCAGCTGTTTCCACTGCCCTTACCTGGTACTGGGGGGGGGGGTTCATGAACTATTATTCTCCAGTGAGACCATCTTTCTTACCTGGGACACCTGCTCAGCATGATCTGTCAACTTCTGCTTTGCACACGACGCGTTAGATTTCCTGCAAACAACACAGTAAATGTGTACAATTAATATTATGACAGTCTGGTCTTTGTGGCATGAAAAATAAGAGGCAGAAAAACTAATAATAATAATGGATAATATTTGAAATTTGAATACTTTTAAGACATTACTCTCAACTTGCATGACCAGGATGATCTTCTGGACTTCTTTCCATCAGCAAATGCAGACATGCTTTGAGTGGATATTTTTTTTTTTTACGGAAAGCAAAGCACAGAATCATTATAATCTTTTGTAGGATTGGTGTGCCATTGACATTGGCTTCTATTTGTAACATTGTGAAAAGTAATATTTATGGATCTCGATATAACTATTTGACCAATTTCAAGGCAGCCATGTGGGGAAAACATTGTCTTATTGATGGATTTTGTCTTTACCCTTAAATCACAGCTTATACCTAGACATTAATTAGCAAGCAACTCTACTCTGTCTGTTTTCAGTAATGTTAGTCTGCCGGGGGGGGGGGGGGGGGGGGGGGGGGGGGGGCAGTTGACCTTGGACCCCCAGAGGATTTTTTCCTCCTTACTTGGGAGTTTTTGGTTCCTCTCCTCCATTATTATCTGCTTTCTTTATTTAATTTCTTTCCTTCCTTCTTCCCCCCCCATTCTGTAGTACTCTCTGTAATAATGTTTAATGTACCACAACACATCCATGTAAAGCGCCTAGGGACGACTCTGTTGTGAAAGGCGCTATATCAAAAATAAATTGAATACATAAGAATGAATGGATTGCCATGGAATGCAATGTGCCTGCAGGGCATCCAGCCAGTATTACCTGTATGTGCAGCAGGTACAGAGCAGCAGGAGCCCAGGAAGCAGGAGGAAGGGACCAGCGTAGACATAGACATTGTCCTGCAGCAGGGTCATGATCTGACAGGCAGCACAAACACAGGCGCACAGGCACACACACACACACACACACACACACACACACACACACACGTCTGGTCAGGACCTCACGGTTAATATAAATATATGTTTCATAATTTCTTGATTTAATAATTCATAGCCTTTAAACTGCTCCCACTGCCCTTGTGACTGTAGTTAGAAAGCATAGAGGCATAGACACGCACATCTCTTGCTTGGCCATTCTCCATGCTGTATCCTTTGGAGGCCCTCTGAATATAGACCGGTTAATTCCAGGAATCTATAATCTAATTCTAAATGTAGATATTTCTACTTACATACAGAGCTTTTTAACCTGTTCAAATATTTAAACAGTACCACTGGCCTATCTGATTAGCTGGATGATAAATATCATCTTATGAAAGTCAAACATCGAACACCTGCATGACACATTACCAGAGCAAACTGAGCTGCATAACAGGAGAATGTTCTGGCGTTTTTTCTGCAGCTGTGAATCTATGGGCGCGGCCGCCCCGGAAAGAATGCAGGAGTCTTACCAAGTTCAGTTCGGCGGTAGACTTCAGGACCAGGCTGGAGAAAGCAGAGTCCCCAAAATGAGTGAAGTCCACACAATACCAAGGTGATCGGAACATGAAGTAACCAAACAGCATGCAGATTTGTTCTGCTATTTGCAGTAAATGTGCTATCTGTAACTAAAAGAGGGACAATTACTTCCTTATTGCTCCAGTCAGTTCAGATCTGGTTCTACCTACACTGGACAATTCAAAGGGGGATATTAATTATAAAAATATGAAACCTTCTGTTTTTTACTCAGGCCAAAAGCCTGTTTTTGTTATTTACCTTAAACATGATCCTGTGAAGACATACTGTGCTGGTCACAGCATTAAGCTGCCTTGTGTGTGCCAGCACTCACCTTTTAATCGTCTCTGTGTTCAGTAGTTGAATCTACATACATGTAGATTGTATAGAGCACTGCTCAGATTTCCCCATATTGACTCACTGGCCAGGCCTCTCTGCACAAAAAGGAACTGGTTTGGTTCTCCCATTCTTCTTAGCTTCCTCATGCGGATGAGTTCTGGGCAGTGAGAATGCCACTCCTTCTGTTACACAGGTCATCCAATGTCAGTGGCTGCTGTTAATAAGAACAATAATCAAATAATAATAATATTAATAATAATAACGCCAACAAAACAACAACAATACAATTTAAAAATGGCTTAGTGTGAGCTGCAAAACCTGAAAAATCTGAAAAAGCAGGAGTTGTGTTTGTGCTTAAAAGTATCTCCTATGGGGGAATTGCTGTTGAACTTTTAGTCACGAAAAGCAGGATGTCTCAGTTAGTTGTGTTAACTTAAACTAGAAGTAATGATTGTCCAATAGAAATGCTCCTCACCTAAGCTCTTATTGGACAATCATGACTTGCACAGTTATATATAACAGCCTTGAATAAATATTCTTTAGATGTTAAAAACAATAAATTCCACCAACCCATTTTCCAGTCCCTTACCCACTATTGGGTAAATTTGTCTGTCTCCAGGGATTCCTTGCAGGAAAAGGCAGCGATCAAGCTAATGTGGTGTTATTGGGCACTCCAAATCTGTTTACTTGTTTACCTGCAGGTGGATTTGCTTTAGTTAATGAAATAGCTTTAAACTCGAGTGGCACCAGCTGCATCACTTGAATCAATCTCTAACACCTTCACAGACAAAATAAACATTACAGTCAGCTTGATCCAGTGCAAATAGATCTCTAGCCAATTAGTACACTTCCACTGTATAATGGCAAACAAATACGATGTGGGTGCAGTGAATAAGGAGACTTCCTCGGTAGAAATGTAGAGGGAATTCTGAGTAAATGCAGGCTGTCTTAGCGGCTTATTGAGGACTGAGGGAGATTACTGATTGTGTGAGCGCGGTGCGCCCCCTGGTGATACATATGGGCACTACAAAGCCAAACAAAACAAACCCTAAATGCTTCTACGTGAAAAGAACTTTTACAATGAAAACCATTCAAAATTTAGAAACGAGCAATAGCAATACATAAAAGTGATACATCTTGTTTTGTGGCTTTGTACCTGGGACACAACTATATCGAGTGAATTAAGAAACAGTACTAATACTGAATCTTACTTCCAGATATGCTACTGTGTGCTGAGGTTTTAAATATCGCTCGGACTTAATGATTTACCTGTTACTTCTTTTGTCTGTTTCACTGGATTCTTTTAACTTTGCGCCATGGTGAGCAGGGCGGAACTTCTGTTGTCAATGAAATGGCTCCATCTTCCGGGCAGTAAGGTAATTTCACCCAGACATATATAAACACCCAATTAATGCCTCGAGACGGTTGAAATTCCAGTCATGTGGAGCCACATGACCTGTTACATCTAAAATTTCAGCTATGACAGTAAGTCATATTGCGTCACGTTCATCCTGTTTTTATCTCTCAAAGTATCATTTAATTAATTTCAATTGTAATTCATCTCAGAACTTTGTGCATTGCTGTGTTATCTTTCTAGCGTGCATAAACTCAACTTTATGCTTCTGGAACCAGTGACACAGCAAACATTTTTAATTTGCCACTACTCAGATATGGAGGTGCTGAATTTCTTTCAGTGTTTCTATCAGTTCATCTCCCAGCCGTTTATCCTACTCAGAGTGACTGGAACCTTGTAGGCACCAAAGGGCCTAAGGCAGGGGCCTCGGATGGGATCTCAGTCCTTTACAGGGCAAATACATAATAATAATTGATACTTTATTGATCCCAGGGGGAAAATTCTCTTTACGCCCCCCCCCCCCCAACTTGCTCTCTGCGGGTGAGAGCAGACTGGCCATGAAGGGCAGCCACCTGTTACGGTGCCCAGGAAGCTGGGGGTTAAGGGCTTTGCCAAGGACCCGCAGATGTGCCAAGGCTGGGCTCAAACTGACCTTCTGATCACAGGCACAGAGGCTTAGCCTGCTGAGCCACACAGCCTCAATACCACATACTCTACAGGCAATGTAGAGATACCGTCCATTCATTCAGGTCCATAGACAGAAATAAATCGGGGGGGTTCACACCCTTAATTTAATAGGTGCCTACACACTGTCAGAAAAAAGGGTACAGCTCTGGTTGTTTTGTTGCCCAAGGTACAAACAGCATTACTGTACCCCCAATGGTACAAAAATGTTCCTCAGAGTCAATTTCTGTACCTTAAAAGGGACAGCAAGGGGTACATCTGACCCCTGAGGGTACAGACCCAGTAGTAATACTAAGTAATTTATGTTCAAAGGTGCAAATACTTTATTTCCTGATAAGGCACTTATAGGTGTAGGCTATGTGTTTGCATCTATCATCTAAACCCTTATCCTGTTTAGGGTTGGGGGCGTCTGAAATCTATCCTGTGGCCTGTACTACGAAGCGGGGTTACTGGCTTATCGAGGTAACTTGTCGGATTTAAGGTACCACAGTTTAAATGGACTTCATATTCGTTCACTTACATTTTGCCCAGACTACCTTAAATCCGAAAAATGTTTTGTGCAATATTTCTTCAGTGCAATTCCACAGTGTTGTACATATATTTATATTTATATATTTCCACTTGTACATATATATAGTTTTTATCCTGTTGTTTTTTTAATTTGTGCTGCTCTATTTTTGTACTGTCCACTTTCTGCTGTGACAATGCAAATTTCACACTTGTGGGACTAATAAAGGATTATCTTATCTTATCTTATCTTATCTGACAAGTTACCCCGATAAGCCAGTAACCCTACTTCGTAGCACAGGGCCCTGGACAGCATATGCATAAACTGCAGACTTCATGACCACCAGTAAAATCATAATCTAAAAATATAAAACATATATATCCTGTTATTTACTGGACTGATATCCGTTGTTTTAAACCGCAGGTTCTGAACTGGTTTAGTTTCAAGGTCTTCTTTATTCCCTAGTCAGTAAGTCGCAACCAAAATGCTCAGCAAAACTTGTTGACTAGAATCTTGGGGTTGCGTTGTTTGTGTACCATCTGCAAAAATCTGCGAAAAAAATGTATGAAAAACTAATTGTTTTTATATTTGCTCGATATTCTGATGTGTACGTTTATATATAATGATGTGAAATAGCTGATGAAAGGCAAACGTTCAAATGATTTCATTACATTTGTGATGCCTATGGGTAACATGCATGTTCCGATAAATGAGTTCACTTGAACTTGACATTCGCTCATTTATCAGTCAGAAATCTGCCCAAAGGAAATACAAGGCAGTAATCTGCTTCTCGGTGAATGCATCTTCCCACGCGACCTACGTCAATGCAGAAAAAAAACCTGCAGACACTGCAATTCCCGTCATGCATTTGGCGGACAGTCACACCCCCCTCCGCCCTGCATGCAGTGCCAGCCCAAGACGGACTGCCGGTAGTCCCTGCGAAAATGGCAGAAGAAACGGGCTCCGGGCGGGGGTGGGAGCCGGAGCCTGGCCGGGATCACAGGCCCGGCAGATCGCCACGGACGCGCCCGTCGGTGTCCTTCGTGGACGTGGGACAGCCGGCCGTGTCCGGGGTGGTCAGCCAGCTCTTCGGGCAGCCGCTGAAATTCGACCGCAGTATCAAGCAGGCCTTCTACAACACTGGCGCCCTGATCTTCGTGGCCATCTGCTTCGGGGCTGCCGTGCTGGTCTTCTTCATCTTGGAGGCCTTCCTGCGCCCCTTGCTCTGGGCCGTCCTCTGCGGGACCTTCCTGCACCCCTTCAAGCACTCCCTGGCCAGGATCGGCCGCTGCTGGCTGGGCGGGCTGCGGGACAGCGGCACCCCGATCGTGCTGGGCGCCGTGCTGCTGCCGGTGTGGTTCGTCAACCACGGCGTGGACGCGCTGGGAGGGCTGGTGCTGGAGAGACTGGGGGTGCTGCTAGCGGTGGGGGCCGGTGCCCCGCTCCTCTGTTTTCTCTATTACTTCGGCAGCGTCATCGGCATGCAGGTGATCCTCGGGCACTTCTGCAACGCCGTGTGCGGCGCCTTGGATTGCTTCGGGCCGGTGTGGGTGAGTGGCCGACGGACACACCCCCCTCCGGCGTCCCGGCCACGTGTCCGGCTGGATGGCGCCGGGGGACCCGGTCCAGCCACCGAGCCTGATCGGCATCGCGTTACCTGACACTGCTGAGCACAGTTTATATGCGGAGCGCAGCTGTGTCTTAAACCTCTTAATACAGCCTCGTCACATGGCCCTTCGGGTTAAATACCTTATTTATCGGTCCAGTTTCAAGGTCTCCTCTTGGTCCTTGCGGGGTGAGAGACGTTCGGGCGGCGGGTAGGACTGCAGTTAGGGCTCGTCACCAAACTGATGATAATTTTAATATTTAAATGTCGAATGAACTCTTCAGTTTCTTAAATAAGATTATGAGGATTTTAAAAACATAAGAACATAAGAAATTTACAAACGAGAGGAGGCCATTCGGCCCATCAAGCTCGTTTGGGGAGAACTTAACTAATAGCTCAGAGTTGTTAAAATCTTATCTAGCTCTGATTTAAAGGAACCCATGGTTTTAGCTTCCGCTACACTAGCAGGAAGACTATTCCATACTCTAACTACACGCTGTGTAAAGAAGTGCTTCCTCAAATTTGTTTTAAAATGTTCTCCCGCTAATTTCCACTTATGGCCACGAGTTATAGTATTTAGACGATTCAATATTAAATGCAGATAAAAATAAAAGACCTTAAAATAAGCATGTTTACCAAATAAAAGTAAATATAAACCCAGTGGAAATTTAAACGAAAATATATGTGATCCCGAAATCCCAGAGAAGACACCTTGGAGGGGCGTTGTGTGCTTGTCCAGAATAATATTACATAAACAGCATTAACGTGACACGGTCTTCAGCCATATCGTCAGATATATTTTGTTTCAATTGCATTGTGTTCTGTCCATGTGAAGCAAAGTGTTTCAAAAGATATGAAAATCTGGGGCTATTACTCAGTGAAGAAATGTCAGAGTTTAATTTTAAGAGGAATGGGGAAATGAACTGTCAATGAATGAACTGTCCTTTAGTCTAAACATGTCTCCTGCCCCCACCCCAGGTTGGCACTGTCGTCCTAGGCTATCTCCTAGCTGTCATCTTCAAGTGGACACCCGCCACGGAGAGCTACCTCCGTACTGCCTCTGTTCCTGTGTGGACCATCCTGCTCTTCTACTTGGGTGAGTCTGGCTGTCTTGCAGTTTAGGTTTGAGTATTTCGGGTGTGGAATCCTCCCGCTCCGGCTGTAACCCGTGCCAGGTCTTTGGCACTTCGGAGGAAGACGGCTGACTGTTACTGCCTCGTTTGCATGTGTAATCTGTATATGGTGCCATTCTTAGCGATTTTCATGAATTTTAAACGTAATACTCTTGCCGTGTAAGTCTCACTACTGTGTCCCAGTTACAATAATATTTCTGAGTTTCTCTGTATTTTCATCCTGTTTCTCCTTCCTCAGTTCCTCTGAAACAGGAAACGGCAGAATGCCTTTACAGAATATCGCCATCACTCTGTTTGTGCATATGCGTGTGTGTGTGCGTGGTTGGGTGTGTGAGGGGCATTAAGCAGTGTTTTAAGCTGTATTGTGAGCTGATCTGAGGTGACTATATCCAAGGTCTCCATAACAGCCAACAAAGGCTTAGCTTTAAAACCAGTAACATGCGTGTCCAGATGAGCTGTGCTGGTTGATTTGCGGTTTGAGATGCGTGACTGAGAGCTTTTGAAAGTGGCAGTTTACAGGAAGTGTGTGGTCATGTGATCGGCCGCCCTTCCTGTCTCCCTACCCAGTGTCACTGACGGGTTGCTGGAGAGTCCCAGTCTTTGTCATCGTGGTCGTCCTGCTGGTCATTGGTTCTCAGCAGGAGACACCCAGAGTCTCGGGAAAGGGTGAGTCACTCGGGTGCGAGTCCACCGTCGTTCCGGCCATGCAGACGTGGGGCTCCTGTGCCGCTTCGGCTGTGCTCCGCTTGTGTGGTTAGACGCCCCCCCCTCCATTGAGGACACCCTTGTAGGACCTCTCTCTCTGCTTCAGGTGAGCTGCCCGGCCAGGTGCTGTCCTTCGCCGCGAACACCATCCTCACGGCGATCTCCTGCAGCCACTTGGCACTGAGCCGCGCGGAAGAGGATGGCCGTCCTGCGCCTCCCACCAACGGCGAGTCCGGGATACAGACAGCCGGGGGGGGGGCGGTGCTAGGGAGCAAGCGATCACCTGTCGTGTGCGTCCGTGTAGCGCTGCGTGTGCCAGCCCCCTGCATGCCCCGGCGTTTGCGTGTGGGTCCGTGTGCGGATAACACGTAAGGTATCTACATAGCTTTGGTTGACATCGCATGACGTCTTGCATGCCTGGATTACGGAGCCCCGCAACACTGCTATGGGGGCAGCAGATGGCGTCCTGGTTGAGGCGCTGAATATGTCGGCATTCCTGCGATGGGACCCTGGTGTAAAGTAATAAATTATGGTGATTTTCAAGTTGTATTAACAGAGATAGATCTGCAATTGGTTGAATCGTGTTACTTAATGGTCTGGAGATTAGCAGGTAAATGGGCTCGGATCCTTGCTTCTGGTTGGTAACCGGCCTGCCATCTCCCTCGCAGACCCCATGGCCCCCCCCGGCTCGGACCCGGGCCGCCGGGCGCCGCCGGATCTGCGGACGCTGTCGCAGCGGAAGGCCAGCGACATTTACTTCGTCTTGCTGGGATGGGCCATAGTGCTGGTGCAGATCTGGATGAACCTGTGGATCCTGCAGCTGCTGCCCATTCCAGTGGCTGGTAATGGGCAGAGCCTCCCAGTTACATGTGCACACGTTCCCCTAGAGGGCGCTGCTTTACCTCACTTAAGGAAATGAGAAACACCGTTTTATTTTAATTTTTCAAGCCTGTATTTCTTCTGACTTGTACCTGTTGGGATTGGTTACCACTCTCAAGGTTTGGTTGATCTTTGTAATAGTAAAATTACAGAATCGCAGTAGTTTGATTTTGTGTGTCTCTGTCTCTGTCTCTGTCTCTGTCTCTGTCCCCAGTGTGGGTCCTGAAGAAGCTGGCGGTTCATTTCGGCCTGATGGCCTTCACAGAGCGCACCTTAGCGTCGTGGTGGGAGGTAACCTCGCGGTTCCTCCAGGAGAGACAGGACGTTCTGCTCCCGGGACCCATCAAAGGCCTGGTCCACTTCCTGCTCCGAGTCGACACCAAGGTAAGGCAGCCAACCCAGCCCAGTCCCCTGGTGGAAGGAATGCACATTACACTGTGTGGAACTGGATCCGGTTCAGATTTCAGGTTGAGCAGTATTACAGTGATGTTGGTTTTACTGGCCCGTTATCCCTGACAGATGCGATTCAGGTTGAACGCGCCTGCCCTTTCCTGATTGGGTGTAAAGTCAGTCTTTCTTTTTATTTGGTCGGTTATCCCTGATGCATGCGCTGCAATGGCTGCCCTGTGTTTAATGCACAGCAGAGCATGCCGGTGTGTGTCTGCTCCCTGAACGAGTCTCTGAGGGGACTGGGTCGGGGTTTGGTGTGTCGGTCCTGGTGGGGGCTGTGCTTGCGAGTGGGGGTAGGCGGATGACACCAAGTTTCCTCAGCATTTTAACATCTTCTCTGGGCTCCAACATATGGTCAAGTGACCTTTTAGAATGGACTTCATGTCCACCCAATTGTTTCTGCTGCTTGAAGAACACTTTCTGTGCAGCATCTGTGCCTCTTAAACACTCTCCTCTGTAAAGGTACTGCACATTTTGGGGTCTCGTCCCATTTTCGGATGGGCTTTGCACAGGTAGGCTGTCCAGCAGACACGGATCGATTCGCTGTTTTCCTCACATCCAACATAATACCTGGTTTCTTCTCGAGGTCCACAGGACGCCAAAGAATTTGGTCGCAGGCCAAAACGTTTCCTTTCGTCCTTTTTCAATATCACGTCATATGTGCTCTGTTGCTCTCATTTGGAACAATTTTCAGCAGTTAATTATCATCTTACAACTTAGCCATTTTAGCTGCTTGCACATTAGCCTTATAGAAAGTTCTGGAAGTTTCTTTTTGCCAGACATCGACATTTCGTTGGGCAAGAAATGAAGAGACGGATTTCGATACACTTTCTGTGTTGTAGTCTGACTTTTGACTTTGATTTTTGAGTCTGTCGTTATTTTTGCTCTGCCTGCTTCTGGAGTGTAACTTCCCTCCCCCCCACCCCCCCACCCCTGGGTGAGCCAGGGCAAAGGGGGGGCAGGGCCTGCACAGCCTCACCTGAGGTCATGTGATGTTTGCTTCTCACCTGCACTCATGTTTGTTCTCTCCAATAATTCCCCACTGTCTTCTCGTCTTCCTCCTGAAAGCTGTGGCAGTGGCTTAACAAGCAGGTAATGGCACACTGGCTGCGGCCTGTCATGAGTGCGAGGGCGTGCGAGAGCGTGCGAGAGCGTGCGAGGGCGTGCGAGAGCGTGCGAGGGCGTGCGTGTTCCCGTGTGAGCACCGCTGGAAGCTTGGCCTGAAGCTGTGTCACCCGCTCGCTCTCAGACTGAAACATTAGGCTTCCTGCTTTCTCCTCCAGCTCCGTATCTTGTCGAGTTGGCTATTGAAGGTTCGCCCCCCTGCGAGTGAGAGAACAGGCTAAATCTGTCCTGCTGACGTAAGCCAAGTGTTTCAGGTTTTATTCGATTGGCAAGAAATAATCACACTCGCTGTCCCATCAGCTGATAGGCTGCTGAATGTCAGAACCTTCCATAGCTTCTGCTTCTGTGTTGCGGCTGGTGGGCTTGGGTGTGTGTGCATGGAGAGTGGGGACACCCTTCAGCCTGCTGTGATTTGTGGGGGGGGGGCGGCCCTAGGTTGAAGGGGCTCCCTGCTGTGTGAACCTTTCCTCTTCTGTTTTCCTGTATGCCATTGGGTCCACAGCGGCACGTTTGTCTGGTTTCTGCTGTCAGGACAGGGGTGGTGTTCTTCTTTAGGGAGCAGATAGAGGCCCTGTCTGCCTCACCTTTTAGCCTCCCTTCTTTATGGAGCTGTGAGGTGGAAAACCAACAGCCACCTGTTTGTGAATGATTGAAGTAACTCAGGTATATAGCCCAGACTGACTCTGGTAAAGTGACTCCGTAATATAGCCCAGACTGACTCTGGTAAAGCGACTCTGTAATTTAGCCCAGACTGACTCTGGTAAAGTGACTCTGTAATATAGCCCAGACTGACTCTGGTAAAGTGACTCTGTAATACTGCCCAGATGAACTCAAGTGATGGCCCCTTTGTTTAGCATCCTTTTTTTAGACTGCGTGTCGTGCTTTGAATTAATAACAATCCATTTTAATACCTCTAGAAACTAATATCCCTAATTGTGTGCTCCAGTGGGGCCATTAATTGAGTTAAGTTTTTACGTGACCCTCTCGCAGTGTAAATTCATTATGCCACTTTGACTGAACCAGCGTCAGCCCTATTGTGGGTGCAGTGTGCTGCTGATCTCCGCTGAGCTCCTGAGGGACAGTCGCTGACAGTGTCTTGTGCAGCTGTACAGGAAAACAACAGGAGTTTACAATCTACTGCTAACTTCTCCGTGGTCACAGTGCCGATAACCAGCTCACATCAGCCTATCGTGTGTTGGGGAGCCATAGAGAAACCTGCTTTGATGAGATTATCTTCCATCTGAATCAGGAAGTAGGAGAATGTCTGTCTGTTTTTGGAAAATTCTTTACTGCGACACTGAGGGTGTTTTGGCGGCCTTTAAGCGGGCTGTGTCGTACCCGCTGTGGTCGTCGTGGAAATGTTCCCTGGACCGCTCCATAGGTTTCTCTATGTGTCCTGCCACGGATGTGTGTTTGGATTGGGTGGCACTATGTGGCAGGTGACAGCTTACCTCTCTGTCCCTCTCCCCTCCCTCCCACCCTCCTGCCCACGATGGCGTGGCTCCCTCTCTCCCTTTCTCTCTCTCTCCCTCTCTCTCTCTCCCCCCTCTCTCTCCCTCTCTCTCCCTCTCTCCCCCCCCTCTCTCTTTCCCTCTCTCTCTCTCTCTATCAGATGATCATATGGCTGGAGCAGTCTCTCGACAAGCTGATCAGCATCTTCATCATCTTCCTGCTGGTGATGGGCACTCTGCTGATGGCCCTGCTCCTCACTGCCATGGTAACCGCCTGCCACGCCCCCCTCAGTGCGCTCGTACGCCTTTCCCAGATGCCCAGTCAGCACTGCTTTCAGGCAAAGCACATGTTTGTCTTACACACAGTTTAGGGAAATGTTATTAGGTTATTCAGGTAGTAAGATGAATCACTTAAAATAGAAGGGCTCTGTGCAGTGAGCTTTCAGGAGTACAGATACCCAGAGGAGATTTAATATTAATATATACATGACATCAAATATGATAATAAATGCATCGCGCTGTTAGCATTGTACATTTACTTTTCTCATTATTTATTTAGCTGCTGCTTTTAGCGATGTACAAGCAAGACAAATATTAGATTGCAGGCGGATGGCCGCCAAGGAGCCAGCTGAGTATCAGTGCAGCTCGGCCGAGCTTCCAGTGAGTTAACACTGGAGTAGGAGCTGTACAGTGTGTGGCAAACAAATCAGGAGCACAGGAAGGGAGCCATTCAAATCAGACAGGTGCAAATAAGGGCTCGCAGGAGGCCGTCTCGCGGCCGCAGACGGAGATGGCCAGAGATGCACTTTGCCTGTCATTTTCATATTTAAATACGTTGGCAGAAGTCATCCAGTCCGTGTGTGTAATCTGCAGTTTTGGGCTGCCTTCCTGATGGTAAATTCTCGCCTGGATGATTTGGCTTTTGGCATTTGGATTTTGGGGGTGGCAGTTTCTCATTTGATTGGTGTCTGGCCTGTGGTGTCCTCCTGCTCTCCAGGTCCACCACGAGAGCGTTCACATCATTGAGGTGACCAGCAACCTGATCAACGAGACTCTCTCCAACCACCCGGAATGGGCCAAGTAAGTCACAGAATTTGGTCACTGCATGTGTCCCCTATTACCACAAAGACCGTCAGCCGTTAAGAGACCCCAGATGGTGTTTTGGTTGATTTTGTGATGAACCTCTGTGGTAATAAAATGTCACCTTTGTCCTGCTCTGGCTGTACTGGCCTCCAGTCTGCGCCACTCTTTCGCCTTTAACAACCCACTTAATACTTCTCTTCTACACAAAGTTGGCTCCCCGAAGCCCAAGTTGTCCAGAAAGCCCTCAACTCTGCTGCCACCAATGTGTACCAGCATGGGAGAGAGTGGATAACAAACAAGGTGAGGGGCGGAGCCTTGGTTTCTGAGGGGCGGAGCCTTGGTTTCTGAGGGGCGAGGCCACGGTTTATGAGGGGTGGAGCCA